GCTAGAACGCCGGCAGGACGGGCCAGCCGAGCGCCGAGCTGCTCCACCGCGGCCACCCGGGGGCGGTGGGGAGCAGGCGAGAGCAGCCGAGCCCGGAGCGGGGCCGGCCCGGCCCCCGCAGCTCCCGCGCCGTCCGGTTTCCCGAGCCCCGCGCTGCAGCACGTGCTCCAGCCGCATCTGGCCGCCCCGGGGTTGTTCCCTCCGGCACGACGGGCAGCGGAAAACATGTAATTAAAAGCAAGCCATAAAAGATAGGCTGTATCGGAGCTAAACACACTTAGAGGGAGAGCTCAGGGTATCGGATGAGATGCAGCTGAAAAGGTTGTTTTCTTAAAATTCGTATTTATTCTTGCCCGTTGATCTCCAGCGCGGTGGGCAGTGAAGACACAAACGTGTCCGTAGCCCCTCCGGCAGCGAGGGGCCCGGGGGGCAAGGGGACGAGTTGCTCTTTCTTCCCTCCTCAGCTGTGTTGGAGAAGTGAGAGGCTCTGGAGAGACCCGGGTGGTAGGAGGGAAATTAAGCAAGCCCAGGTGCTTTGCAGCTGTAAGTCAGCGAAGGAAGAGGGTCCAAAGGCCCGGACAGGTGACATTCAGGGCTTGGGGTTTGCTGTAATGTGTAGGATTGGAGGGAGCAAAGGCAGCACAGCTAGGCAGTCCTCAAGGAGGTGTTTTAAATGAAAACTGAAAGGGGCTGGTGATAGGATTTTACAAGGGGTTATAGTGCACACGGCAATACCTCGGACATTCAGGCACTGTCATCCTCCAACAGATGACTGAGATTTATCAGGTGTGATATGGTCAGAGTAGACTTTCCCTTTCAAAGCTCTTACAATGCACAAACTTGCAAGTACCCCAGAATGCAGCTGGCAAAACGCGGTGGAAGTACAGAGGAGCAGAAAAGCAAAACAACCCAGGAACCTCAAGCTGTCAGATTTAAATGTTATCTAAAACCAAGGGAAAAGAGAATAGATTGTTTTGAAGGAAGCTGCTTAGGAGTACATGGGGCAAGCTGTTCTATAGATGAGGAAGTGCCTTTTCCCGAGTGAACCCAAGGGTACTGACGTCGGACTCCAGGAAGAAGAGAAATTTTGTTCAGTGGATTGGTCCTGTCTGGTGTGGCCTGATGCAGTTTTTTGCCCAAACCGATAAGCAGTGAGATCAGTTCTGAAATTAAACTCTACCAAAGGCGACAGTGGCTGAAGGAAGACAAAACCCAGCAGCCAGGGTGTTCTGGGAAGTGCCTCCAATTTTGAGTTCACGCTGGTCTCGGCACACGGTGAGAAGAGCTATTCATAGCATGTGTTGAGAAACTCCAGCTCGTCATTACATGACAGTGTTTGCACCTGTATGTGTCCAAGTCTCACTTGACCTTAGTGTCACCCACTCAGCTCATTCAGTGTCTGCTGGTGTTTAGGTGTAAAGATCAGTAATTTTAACATAAAACATCAGGTACAATTATGAGCCATCAGGCACCACATACAGCAGCAACTCTTACTTAAAAAAAAACTCTTACCTTGTCTGCTTCTTCCTAGATAAAAGGAGCAGTGTTTCTGTCACACTGAGCAATACTAGTTCTTAAGCAATACTTCATGGGAAGGTACATAAATAAATACATCTGCATCTCAGATTGGTGTACATATTATGTTACAGTTCTCCTCAAGGCTTATAAAAACATTCTGCTTTCATCATAAAGCATGCCTGGATTTCTGTAAGATAGTGAAAGCTTACTGCCACTGAAAACCTGTCAGAACTGTATCTAATGCTGCACCTCCATCCTACACTTCAGAATTTGTCCTATACATTCTTATTCTTCGAATGTGAGGCATAATCCAGGCTCATTTCCTATAAAAGAACAGACAGACATGATGTGCCAGATGCCCGCACTGCTACTTTAAGTATATATATTTGTGCAGCATTCTGTATTCCCTACCAATTTGTTTCATTTACTGCCCAGTAAACAAAAAATATCTAAGAAAATTTTCTCAGACTGCTGTCAAGAGATCCTTGGAAACACATTAATCTCTTGGAAGAAGAACATTGCCAGGAAACTTCCGAATCCTGTGCTGGCAACAATTGTGTGCACCAGTTGTCTTTTTCCTAGGTTGACTAGGTTGTTTATCAGCAGCAGTAGAGCAGCCTTTCTATACCTCTAAATTAAGAACTTTTGCAATCAGTTCAGTTTTTGTCACCCGGCCAATCCTTGGCATTTCTTTTACAGCAGCCAACAAGATGAGTCATTATTGACAATTGCTGTTGTGGCACACAGTGAGACTGGTGAGAACTAGAGATATGCTGACTAGCCCGTTTCCTGCTATCCCTTAATTAACTGAGAGAGTCAACCACAGCTTAACACCTTCTCCAGTCTGTTTGGGAAAGAAGAACCATTCCACTTCTCTTAACCTTCTAGGTACATGCAAGCACTAGTGTCTACCCAGCAAAAAGCCACACCCCTCCCAGAACACAGCTGTCAGCTTTCAGAGGAATCCCTGGGTTTTGCGAGATGCGCAAAACTGTTAAATTATATTTAGCAAGAATTTACACCTGCAAACTAAAAGATAAAATGTTTGCATTGCTGCTCATGAATTCAGGGTAAACATAAGCCCACATGGAAGTTTAATTTGTATGAAATACTGTTTAAAAATCAATCAGAAGTGTTTTGGGTTACAAAGTGGCATAGGATTGTTGTAAAACAGCACGAGGCTTACAGATTCTTCATCATCATCATCAAAGACAAGTTCCTAAGCTTCTCCACTGATCTCACATTAGTCATTGTTTCCAAGTTAGGTGAAAAGGGGAATCTCTAAGCATCACAACAGTAAAAATTTAGCAACTAAACTCCATCCATGGAGAGAATGAGAGAAGGCCAGAATACCACTTGAAACGACCAGAGTAAAATTTCACATCGTCTCATGTCTGCTTAGTCCTTACAAACTTAAAGGAGAGCAAGGGATATATTTCCTCTGTACGTCTTCTCAGATGAACCATTAAGAGCATTCTCTCTGTCACAACATTAGCTAAAATGAGTAAGTAAAAGCTCCTGACGAATGCGACAGGCTTCCGAGTCCATTGATTCCATCTGCTCGTACTCTTCTTCTGGTTGTTCCACGTGTCCTGTGGCTGGCGAAGACCACGCATCCAGCCCAAGTTCCAGGGAGATGTTATGGAGGACACAGCAGGCCAGAATGATGTGGCTGGATTTCTCTGGAGAATACTGCAGGGTGCCTTTGGACCCATCCAGGCAGCGGAAACGTGACCGAATGGTCCTGAACGTCCGCTCGATGACGTTGTGAGTGGCAGAATGTGCCATGTTGTAACGATATTCTGCAGGCGTCTCGGGGATGTGCAGCGGGGTCATCAGCCAGGTGCGGAGGTAGAAGGAGCTGTCACCTGTTGGCAGTGAAAGAGAGGAGGATTGGTCACACACCTACAGTTAACCACAGATTGCAGCTCTTCACTCTCAGTTTTCTGGTACTGCAGAGACACAGTAACTTATTTCTCCGGCTGAAACAGAAGGCATAAGAAAGCATAAAAGCCCAGCAATAACTCAGGTTTACAAATGTGACAAACAACAAAATAGAGGCATTCAGTTTTACAGAGGGAAATCATGGAAGAACAGGGAATAGTTTAAAGAAAATTAATTAACTACCTAATACAGTGAAAGACAGCTGGACTAGGAGCCTAAATAGAATTAAAAATTCACAGCTAAAAAGCACAGTTCAGCTCAGAAATGCTTAGGATACTGAAAACAAGCCCTAAGCAGAAGGAATGTAAACTGACACATACAGTAATCAGACTCTGTAAAACATAGGCTGGAAGTTACTGTTCTGGAATTCTAAGAGAAGGATCATCCAAACTGAGATGCAAATTTCCAGGAATTTGCAGGAAAACAATCAAAAGTAAGCATGTCACTTGTGCCCAGAGGCTCTAGAATCAAGGAGCTGATAAGTAGTACTTTCCACAGGAAACGGTGATGAGAAGTGACTTACCAAGCAGCCAGCCATCCTTATGTAGCTCAGTTTCAAACTGGCTTGTAAGCGCTGCCTGCTGCAACACCGTGTAGTCGGGCAGGCTGCCAGGCCAGTGCGTTTCTGCGCTCAGAAGGGCTCCCCTGGCATCACACACCATCAGGCAGTTCAGAGAATGGAGACCCTTTCGGTTCACATAGGACAGGTCCTCAGCGTTAGGCGCTTTGATTGCCACGTGGGTGCAGTCAACCACCCCCAGCACTCCCGGCATGCCTGCCAGCGCATAGAAGTCATCCTTCAGGCTCTGAACAGCAGCTTCATCCTCAGGAAAGTGAATAAACTGTGAGGCTCTTTCTACCAATGCCTCGGTTACATTGGCAACGCAGCGGCTCATGGAGGCTTGACTGATGCCAATTGCATCTCCCATGCGTGTCTGGAAGGAGCCAGAGGTGTAGAAACCCAGGGCAGCAAGTATCTGGGTCTCCGGACTGATGGCCCTGGACCGCTGAGTAGGGCGAGAGAGACTGGCTCCCAGGAGATCCACCAGGTAGTAAATGAACTGCCGGGGAAAGCCGTACGTGGATACTAGATACTCATCCGTGACATCCTCCAGCTTGAAGCGATCCAGAGTCCTGTGTCCGCGGCCATAGAGCAGGAGGTCACAGTCAAGCACTGCAATAGGTACGGCCATGGCTGGCGGCTGGGGGGTCCCTCCGTCACAGGCTTTCCCAGTGCTTCCAGCTGCACAAAGCAAAGAGGAAGGAGACTCAGAACGGTTTTTACCGGTCAGCCTTTCTGACTCCGTTAACATTTTACTCAGGTCACTCGGCAAAACTTTTTACTTCTCCGCATCCGATTTAAAAAGCACCGGGGCCGAAGCAGGGGGGGCTCGCTGCGGAGCTGACTGCTCTCCAGCCCTGCCTGGTCTTGAGGGGAACTGGCGCTGGCAGGAACGGACCGCCCGTGCTGGGGAGGGGGCTGCTGCACCACAGCAGCCGCTCCCCGGGCCTGGGAGCCGCCCCCGCCACCGTCAGCCCCGGAACGG